CTGAAAGGGACAAGGAATTGAGGCCAGGCGACGACTTTGTCTGGTTGCCTTTGTCCGATTTCTCCTGACCCACTGTCGGAGGACCTCTTGTTATTCTAAATTTATTACACACACGCACACACTAATGAGCGCTAGTGGCAGTTGTGCTTATAAAAATCCGACCCCTCCCCAACCACTTTAGCCCCCACTCCCCGCTTGTGGCACATCAAATGGCAGAGTTTAAACCTCATCGCTGGTGCATAAATTTCTACCAGTTTAGAGCTCTTGCAGCACCGCTCTCCTCGTCATCAGGATGCGTTGCTGTCCATTCGAGCATGTTTAATAAGCGTCGCCATTTTTCATGCGCAGTCAGCGGAGGAGCAGCCCACATCCACTTCTCCCGTCTCCGTGATGTAGCATGCAGATGGATGGGGCAACCATGAGAACTATGAGTGCCACGTGAAGAGTTTGCTCTTAGCAAGCCAGTTGCAAAATATTTGAACTGCACGAGCAGCGCGCCATAAAAAATGGAAAATCACAGCACAAGTGAATTGGGGAAACGAAAATCAATGTATTATTATTATACGTAGCGGCACTACATGTGTTATACTATATAAAATATTATAATCTGAAAGGAAACAAGATATTGAAATTTTTAATTTATCCCAAGCAAAGAACCTGTTTCTGTTTGTTTTAGCGACAAGTTAAAGAATTTCTCGAAGATATGGAAATGGAGATAAGTTGTTTTACTCGGTAAATTCCAAAAGTGATTTAAATTGTTTACCTTAATATTGCATAGAAATATACTTATATCCAAATATGTAGTTTCTTGGAATTGTCTTTAATGGAAATTTGAATAAATATTTGCCCTCAACAAAATTGTATTCCACTTGTGAGCATTGAAAATAAGTGCAACCAAACAAAACACTTTACTAAGAGCTTCAATTTCTCCACATCTGCGATAAGAGCTAATGGTAAAGCGACAAATTCTAGACTCCGAGCGAAGCCCCATAAAGATATGAATCTCTGGCGAAACTTTCCCCCGGGGGCAGCGACTCCAACTCAATTTATATAGCATTTATCAACCATTTGCCTTGGGTGTGTGCGCCCCAGACTAAACGTGAATTATGATGATGCTGCATAAGAGTGACATACCGTTTCATAGTGGAATATCATTTTTTTCCAGGATTCTGCTGTTCTGGCCATTTTGTTGATGTCTGACTAGTGTTTTTCCCGCTGCTGCTGGTTTTTTTTCCAAGAGCGGAAAATTTGTCAACTCAGTGAATCGTAAATGTTATATGGAGCGAGACGGGAACATCAAGGCGGAAAGAGACAAGAGCACTGAGTAAACAAATGAAAATGCTGTTTGCATTGGAATTTCGTTCGTTTGGTTTTCAATTAGACGAATGCGGCCACCGCTGCGTATGAGCAATGTTTGGCAATAATTTGCTGCTCAAAATGGATAAGAAAATGGAAAAACCGCAAAAGCAAGAGCAAACAAAGTGGAAGCCCTCGAATGGCAGCAGTTTAGTTTAAGGTTGACAAATGGCCCAGCCAGGACACGAAGACATGGCAGTACATCTGTAGCCATTAGACACGTAGCCGGAACTCCCTGGGATGAGCTGAGCCGGGGGCGTGGTCCTCACGTCCTGCCAGCCAGGACATGTCTCAGCCAGGTGTTCGGGTGGGTGTGTGTGTAATAAATTTCACCTGCACACAAGTTGAGCAACAAGAGGAACAACAAAATCGAGCCTGGAGCTCGCTTATTTAGTGCCTTCGTCTAGTGTTGTCGAATGTTTATTTTGCCTTTTATTCCACTGACGAAAAATCAACAACTAGAACCTAAAACTGAAGTATAATTTCATAGAAAACAAGAAAAAAAAGCTAACTTCGGACTGAGCCGAAGTTGATATACCCTTGCAGAACATTCTGTAAATTATATTCTTCAAAATTATTCATATGATGTATTCTTAATACTCATAAAAAGTCCCAACTTCCTAACTATAAAAACACCAAAGTTATGGCATTTCCAATCGTTCAGTAATATAGGATTTTCTATGAGTTTTATTTTTTATCAATCCGACCTACCAAATTTCATAAGGATCGGCCGACTATATCCTATAGCCGCAATATAACTGATTCATCGGAAATGCCATAACTTTAGTGTTTGTAAATCACTTCTTATCAGTATATGCCAAATGGGGCAATGATTAAGCTATTCAAATTTCAAGAATTTGATTTAAGTCGACCAAACTTCTTTGAGCTCATTGTTTTGTAATAACTGCAAGGGTATATAAACTTTGGCTTGTCGAAGTTTGCTTCCTTTCTTGCTTTACATTAAAGTATACTTTTCTGATAGATTTCAGTTCAGATATTCCGAATCAGAACCCCAAAACATTCCATTACGTTCATGGACCTCAGAGTTGAAATATTAAAATTGTTATTAAAAATCTTTAACCAAGTATTTTATTATTTGTATTTTAAAAATTAGTTTAATTTGTTTCATCAACATTTTCGAAGCCGAATTCAGCCCACCGAAATATTTTAGAAAAGTATTAATGTAATTTATTTTCTTTCCATGGTAAATATGAAAAAATTATGGTAACATTTAAAATTCCAAAAAAAACATTTTTTATAAATACAATCTTTTATGTTATTGAAATAATATTTTATAATCATGTACTTTATTTTTACAGTCTAAAACTATTCCAAAGGAACAATTATTTTATTTTAGACATCAACAGCAAAGTTGCTGATTTTTTTTCCTGTTTATCTTCTTTCTATTATATTCTTTTATGCAGTCCTTACGTGTGAACTTTGCCTAATTTATTTATGCTCAAGAAAGAATTATTCTCGACATTAGACACATGGAATTAGATTCACTGGCAGCTGAGAAAAGGAATACGCTTTAGCCTTTGCTTCTGTTTTCTGCTGCACTTCCCCAATCATTTACTTAATTATTTAAAATGCTTCATACAATTTGTGCCAGCCTCTCTTTTTCCCTTCCCCTTCAAGACAAATGCAATTTGTTTATGGCAAAGTAAAGTAAAGGCAGCAGGAGTCCCGGGCCTGGGGACCTGGCTTTTGTGAGTGCGAAAGCAGGACGAACAGGACGAACAGGACGCCCAGGATACGCAGTGCATTTTGCTGAAATTACTTTGCAGCGGCGAAAATGGAAGGAAACGCTGAGCCAGCTAGCATCTCAGATGAGTCACCTTGCAGCATTAACCCCTTGTTGCCGACGACTTCCTTCCATATTTCCTCTCCTCGAGCAAATTGCCATGCAAATTGAGGGAATAAATGAGGCTGATGCTGATGCTGATGCAGATGCAGATGATGATGTGGATTAGCTTTGCAAATGCAGCTTAATAATTTTTTTTTACTGGCTGCAGCAGAAAAACATCGTTAGTTGCAGACCGAGAAAATGTAGAACATTTTGAGAAAATGGTCAGGGAAAAGCTACAAATTAGGAGGATAATTAAAGTAAAGTGTTCTCTTTAATTTTCTCAAGGCATAATATAAGTATAAGTTCTGTACCATGACAAGTTATCACATTGTAGATAAGATAAAATGATTGATAAGATATTAAATAGAGCGAAAAGTAAAATAAATCAGTGACATTAATTTCTACTAAATTATTTAAAAAGGTAAACATGAACATAATTTGATTTTACACAAACACAAGACATACATTTGGTTTGTCTATTTAAACTAAACCAGATTTACCTTTACCTCGTATAGAAATTGTATCAATTTAATTCTAGGCATTATTCATAATCTCAAAGCCTTTAAAGTAATTACTAAAATGAATAAGTTAAGTAAGCCGATTTCAAGCTGCAGGCAAATGTTTCATTTTTGCCCGCCCAATAATAATCTGAATTTATACAACAATTTAAACAGAATCCACCGCAGCATGTGCGAACTTAATCTATAAACGTAAAGTTATCAAATATCAGAAAATACATATGGCTTTTCTGATTATTTATGCCCAACATTCAGCTTTGGGTTAAGCTGCCAGCAACTCGCTCCTAACACTTGCAAAATATTGCGTCTGCCTGTGCGTCATTTTTCAATTTTCCCCATTGGTGCACCTGGAGAAAAAGGAAAAGGAGAGAAAAACTGGGCGGAAAATATGGAGGAAAAAGATCCTAATAAGAAAGCTAACATATGCAGCTGAATGAAAATGTGTGTGGGGGCCAATCGATAAAAAGAGAAAGAAAAAACATAAGAAAATCTTTCAGCGGCTTAGGGGAATTTTCCCATCTCATTTTTATGTGCGGTGCGGGAGAATAAAATCACAATTTTATCTTTAGCCGCAAAATAGAATGGAAAGCTAGAAATATTAGAAAGGCCACACAAAGTTAAAAAGTTTATCACCCATCATAGTTCTCAAGTGAATAATTGGTATCAGTATCAGTTAGATTCCACAAACTTCATACTAACAATATTTTCAGCACCCAAACTTATGTGGCTTCTATGTTTTTGCACATATTTTGGTGAACAGAAAACTCTCTGTTAACAAGGCAGCATTTTAATTTTGTTCAAACTGTGTTAATCCTTTGTTTGCCAACTTGTTCATTTGTTTAAATACCACATTTATCTGATGTTTGCCTATGTGGTTTTTAAGTTTTGTGGGTTTATGTATTTTAGTTATTGGAATTCCACTTTAAAAGATAATTTTTTTTTTGGTTCAAGGTTTTACTTAATTGAACTAAATTGATTTAAAAAATCATTATTTTATGTTTTCTTTAAATTTGCCTTGCAAAACAAATTCATATATTTCAATTGCCCAATACTTTTAATAATTGGATTTATTTATTTACAGATTAAATTTAATCAAACATTTGAAATTCAAACTTTGAATGAACTAGCAGTGTTTTGTTGTATTTCGGAGAGCTTTTAACATTATTTATTTTGAGCTACATTTTTTTTAAACATAAAATGATAACTTTAATTTAAACTCATTTATTTACTACAAACTGTTTTTTGAGAATTCATAGACATTCAGAAATATGACTCACCTCGATGCAGAATTGGCAGCCGCACTGCTGCAACGCCATGGCCTCGCCCACATCCTCCACATCGATGAGGCACAGCTTGCAGGTGAAGGGCTGGAAAGTGGTGGTGGGCGTGGCCGGAGTGCCCACCGAGGGCGTAACATCGGCGGAAGCGAGCATCTCGCGGCGCTTCAACGCAATCCCATCCCGAACGCAGCAAGCCTGGGCCGCTTGATTCGCACTGGCCATGGAAAGCAGGGAGCTCACGGTCAGTGGATAAGCGTGATTGGTTCCAAAGGGTCCCAATTCGCCCCCGCCTCCATGTGCCCCAGGTGCTCCAGTGGGCGTGGTGGCGGGCGTCGCTGTGGGTTGCTGCTCCTCCTGATTCAGATTATTGGCGGAACTAGAATGCAGCGTGGCCGTGGTGACATTGGACGGCGGACTGGGACTGGTCGAATTGGCAGTTGTTCCGCCGCTTAGTCTGATCTGGGCATTCACATTGATGTGCGGCTCCTGGGCCCGACGATGCTCCTCTTCCACTCCGGCTTCCAGGTGATTAAGGGCCGAGTTCGGCCGTGGCACAAAGCCACTGGCCAGGGAATAGCGCGATCCGGAGGCAGCCAGGGATAACAAACTGGAGCAGCGCGAGCAGGTGCCCACGCCATTAATGCTGCTCACACTGTTTCGCAGGCGGTTCAGTGGTCGGATTTGTTCCACTCCACCCGAGCTGAAGATCCCGCTGCCATGGACTGCCAACGAATGTCCTTGGCTCCGGCTCTGGCTCAAGCCGTGAACATGACCGTGCGATTGCGATTGACGGGTGAGGGCCAGGACTGTTTCGCACTTGCGCAATCCCGTGTACTGGACAATCGACTGGGACTTCTCCTGGTGCAGACTGCTGGCGCTGCCCTCGCGTCGCATGATGTGCCATATCTTCTGCTGGACCACATTCAAGGAGCTGCTCGAACCGCTGATGCTCAGGCTGGCATGTCCTTGGCCGTTGGCTAGCTGACGGCCAGAGGGATCCCGGAGCACCACATCCTGCTCGGAAGGAGTGCGGGTGATCCGTATCTCAGGGGAGGCGGGCCGATCTCGCTCTGTAGCTGCTCCGCCGCCACCGACACCTCCTCCTCCTCCTCCTCCTCGACTGCTGCTCGCCTTGAGTCCCACCAGCGATTTGAGAAAGTTCTCGAAGCGACGCCTTCGGGGCAACTGACCGCCCCCGGATAGTCCCAGTGAGCTCTCCAGATCTCCTCCATTCGCAGCCAGAGCTCCGCCGAGTCCAGATCCTCCGCCGCCTCCACCAAATCCACCTCCTGCCCCTGCTCCGCCAGCGTCGCCATTCGCCGAGGAAATGATGACCTTGCTGCGCGCCTGCGTGTCCAGCAGCGCAACCGTCTCGGCGTCGGCGGAATCGAGGGCGTGGTCGTGGCGGGGCGTGGCATGCAGGGCGGTGGAGGCCTTTTGGCTGGCGGAGCGCTGGTGCTGCTTTGTGTTGGCCAGATTGTGGATTGGCGAGGATTCCTTTGAAATAAAAATGAAAGAGATGAGTAAGTAGCGCTTTCTTTTTGGAGCTTTACAAATCATTTTAGGTAATTTCCTTTAAATTGTTTTCTTTAATTAGCATAAACATTCAAGTGATATTTATTATGTATTATATGTATTAGTAAAACCGTGAAGATATCATTAATCTTACGTCATTCTCGAAAATGCAAAGATATTGACAGTTAATATGTTATAATCATGCTTAATTAAAAACAACAAAAGATATATTTTAAAATCTTTTCTTGAAATTTCTAAAAGGTTAAAACTAAAGTTCACCCACCCGCGAGTCCTGCTCCAGCTCCTCCTCAAGCGCACTGTAGACGGGCGCGTACCAGGAGTAGGAGAGCTGCTTGCGAGCGGACGGAGCCGCAGCTCCCGCTCCACCAGCAACAACGACGTTAGCCGTGGGTGGTGCCGTGTGGCCTGCTCCGTGGTGCTGATGCTGCTGCTTGAGCGGCACAAGCTTGGCTGCCCCACCGGTACCGGTTCCTGCACGTCCTACTCCTCCTCCCTCTCCTGTTGGAGCGGTGGTCACCAGATTGTTGTTATAGCTGAGCGGTAGACTCCGCCTCTGGTGCTGTCCTCGAGTGGGTGGCAGGTGCTTGGTGGGCTTCCTGCCCACTCCGTAGAGACTGCTGTGGTGCTGGCGCCTTTGCTGCTGCGGCTGCTGATGATGATGGTGATGGTGATGTTGATGCTGATGGTTTCCCTGGTTCAGTTCCTTCTTGGTAAAGATCAGCGAGGCACTGTTCTTGTTCAGCCTTATGGAACGCTGCTTATCCACCACCGTGGCCTCGATGTGGGTGAGCAACGGAACCGTCTCCGACAAGGGCAGCAGATGCTGCGAGGATGCCGACTCCGAAGGGAAATTGATCACAAAACTCTCGGCGGCGTCATCAAAAATACTAGCTCTGGCAGCACTGACACAATCCTCACTGGAGGAGGGACTGCTCAGGGAACTCCTCTTGGATCGGGTTTGATTGTGCTGCTGGTAGCTGCTGTAGCTGATCTTGTTCTCCACCAGCAGTTCCAGCGGTGGCAGTTTGGCGTGGTGGTTGTGTGGACTCCGATCCTGGTGAATCTCCTGCGGATTGGAGGGCGTGGCGTGCACATGCACCTGTTCAGTCGACTGCAATCCCGTCGACGCTGGCATCGATGGCATCGCCATTGGTGGCCGCATTCTGGCCCAGATTGCTCTTGATCAGCGGGCTTGTGGTGAAGGATCTGCTCAGCTTAACCGTGGCTGGCGACGGCACCTTCATGTTGACAAAGGCCTGTTAAGAAAAACCAAGCAGCAATTAGTTTGGTATGTTAAAAGTACGGTAGGGTGATGTATCGCTAATAATCCAACTAAAGTTAGAAGATATTTTTGTAGTTCTCGCAGCGGATTAGATAAGTAACAGCGAAAGTAACAAATTGACACGTTCGGCACAGCTAGCTTAGACAAAACACTAATTTGGATAACGCAATTAAACCTGATATATTAATTTTATAAGTACACAGAATTGCCTATAAATTTGTATTTCAAGTTTTTAATTGGCAATCTAAACTTAAAGGCAATAGAGTTCGAAACATATAAGAAAAATACCCACTTGTATTTTCGAAACATTTGTCAGTAAATAAACTTAAAGAAAATATTTTTTTGTTTAGAAAAACTGTTAACCTTGGACAAACGTTTTTCAAAACGGAAACGTCTGATGGCATTTGCTAGTCAAAAATTGCAGAAAGTATATTTAGCTTTAATAGCTTTTATAGTTCGGCTTCAAATTGAATGAAATCAATATACCCTTGCATTCAAAGTGAACTTCTTATAAACAGAGTAGCTATATTCCGAATTTTATCCGATTCCTGGCAACTGTGCCGCATTTGCATTTACGGCTTTATTGGATTTATGGCAATTGGCCGAGAGGGAATCGGGGGTTCTGCATTCTGATTAGAGTTCGCTATTGTGCAGAGACTTGCCTTTGGATATTATTCTGCCAATTTCTTTGGGACAGTGGTCTATAGACAGGAACGAATAAGGAAATCCATATATTCGATGGATCACAATTAAAATGACGTCTGAATGTATATTATATGATTATTCGATTATGAGCCCCGATCGATGGATAACCGCATTGAGTGGCTTTCAATGTTTTGCTTTTACATTCAAGCCTCTAATTTGATTGAGCTTTCGTATCCATCACGGCTACAAAATCTCCAGGGGCCTTTCGCCATTTGCCACGTTTTCCATGTGAACGGCCACTGCCACTAATCCCTTAAATTTTCAGAAATACGAGGCCAATTTAATGGCAATTAATCGGCAAATTGTTCGACTCGCAACCAAAAACTACACAACAGAAATTTGCATTGCGATGGCAATGCAACAACAAGAAAACCAATTTCAATTTGCAAACTCCTCGCTGGGCAAACAGAGTAAAAGCGAAAAGAGCGGATAAGTGTGGGCAGGGGAGAAGTCTCTGGAGGATGTACCTGCCCAATTGCTTCCCTTCGCAGCATCCATCCAGTCAATTAAGTTATTTTCCACTTTGAGCCTGGTCAGGTGCCATTGCCAGTATGCCAAAAGGTATTCCCCACGGCCAGCAAATTGATAAATAATAAAGAGAAAAATACGATTTTTGGTAATTTAGATAAATGGAAGCATACGAAAAATAGTTGCGCTTATCTGCATTTAAAATAGAAGATACATTTTTCATTGAGTAAAGTTTTAAAGTGAGAATAAAATACATTGTTAGCATTTTTAATAAGGCGTGAATCGAACAATTTTAAAAATAATGGATAAGTAAACGAAAGAGGGGATTTACCCTGATAGCCATTACACAATTTTGGTCACACTGTTTCTCAGTGAACATTCTCCTTCATCTTGGCCACACTGTTTCGCTGAACTCTGCGGTAACCTGCAGGAATTTTCCATTAATTTCAACTTAATTACGGTGGCAGCAGAAACAGAAGCCGCAGCTGGCTTAAGCTGCACATGCCAGTCCGCCGTTCGAGGTATGTGGCTATATTAATTTTTGGCATGCCTTTGCCTACCCACCTCCACCACTGAAACTCTCACAACCTATGGCCCACATCCACCCGTATCAGCACAACGCACCGAAGTATGCAACGAAAAAATGCGAATTACGCATAATTGCCGAGCTCAACTGAGAAACTGAAAGACACGCGAAGAAAAAGTATACACCTGCCAAATTAGTCCACAATTGGCTATTTTTATTTACGTTCAAATGATTTGCATTAGATTTATCTTACAGCTTGTTATAAGAAAACATTATGTCAGAATACAAAATACAAAGCAATTAATTTTTTAAAGAAAGTTATGACACTTGAAAGCCATTTTATTTGATATTTTAAATATCGAACATTTTTAATTGTGATATATTGTTGTTAGGTAAAAAAGTATAATTTATTAATGCCCTGATAATTATATTTCTCATGCTGAAATTTTAACTTAAGATATTTTTTGCCACGGTGAGAAAGTAAAGCGAAAAGAGAAGCCACAAGCCGCAGCAGCAGCGCTGAAAAAAGTGAAAGATAAATTGCTTGCCCACGCCCACATAAGCGTTGCTACAAGGCCAGGTCAAAGGGCGACGGGGTGGTGTTGCGCAACGTGAGGGGGAGAGGTGGGGGCGGACGTCTACAAGACACATTTGCCGCCCGGCTGACACTGACTGCCTCAATTCTGGGCTGTGGCAAGTGGCATGCCTCCCGGCAAAATTAATCGCCTTTGGCGCACATTGTGAATTTACGAAATTTGTCTTTCGTACATTTACATTTAACGCCATTTAGGCGAAGGGGAAAGTGGAAGTCAATGCCAAACGAAGATTGATGAATGCAAAGATGCAAAAACGACAATTGTTTTCCATACCATTTCTGCACCTCATTCACCCTGCATCCGCTGCTAATTATATCTACGAGAAACTGCCAAATCACCCAATCATGACATGCAATGAAACTTCATCTCCAACACCGCAATCAGGCAATCAAGTCGCAAATCCCGTACAACAAATGGGGTTTTGTTTCATCATCGCAACAGCAGGGCAACTAATTGACATACGTCAATTGGCCAAAACGGAATTAATGAAGAGCCCAACTGAACGAGAGGCAAAAACACTGAATTGTTTCAGTCAATTACCGGTGGCGAGCAATAAATAAACCAGAGTTTAACTTACCATAATTCAAATGGCCAGCAAATGCACTAGAAAGTCTGAATTCGTCGGTAAACCTGCAAAAACGGAGTAATTTAAATTATTATTATTAAGAACATAAAATATTTATATATTATTTGCATTTTAATCAAGACTATATCAAATGTTTAATAAATTTTAATATACTAAAATAGTTATTAAATATGCAGTTTGTTATATAATAACGAGAATGAGGTATGGCATTAAATAAACGCAAGGCAGAAAATTAAATTGGCACGCAAATGCACCAAAGGCATTGGTATAGATATTCAAAACTAATAATTAAAATAACTAAACAAATTAAAGAAATAATGAACAACAAATATTAAAAGTAGACCAGTAATTACTTTTTAGCTAACCAAAGGTGAAATAAGTTATGGTCACTTTAAACTTTTCTTAGCTTTTTTCCCTACCTAAAAATACAAGTTGATCCGCTTCAATGCCTCAATTAATTGTTGTTAAACTCGGGTCTTAATTTAAGTTAACAACGTTTTAGCCATCGCCAGCGTTTGGCTAAAAGGGAATTTTAATTGGCTGTCTGTCAGTGTGTGCGTATGTTCAAGCGGCTAATTAGACTCGCGACCCTCCAACGAAACTCGAGGCATACGACCACTTAGTTCGGGGTTAAGCCTGGCCAAGTGGTCACACATGCAAATGCACATACACCCCATAGATATACATATATATATGCATATGAATTATATGAAGACAAACGGGTTGCCCTGAAAATTGTGCTACGCTCTATTCATGGTGCGCCTCCAACCACACAATTACGCGGAAATTTAGTTAATTGTAATCGCAGCCTGCTCATGACACAGCTACCAGTTGGCTGACAGGTTTTCCATCGATTACAGAAAAAGGGAGGCAGCCAAGTAAAGTCAGGGACACAAGTTATCGATTCATTTATCAAGTTCCAACGGTGATACGTTTTGGCCGATGACAGTAGAAAGTTGTGTAATCACAGCTAAAAGTATGAAGAGGGAATCATAAAAGCAAGTAACACGCATTTGCTGACGTCACTGGACAAACACAAACAGCTTGAGAAAGATTTATCAACTGCTGACTACTGCCGGTGACCAACGGAGCGTATGTGTGATATTTGTCATATTTAAGAAAGGGAGCGGGGGAAAGAGTGAGAAACCGACAGCAACACCATTCTCTGTCTAATTAGCTTCAATAAAGGGTTTACTTGGCCAAAAGAGAGAGGGAGAGAGAGAGCGGATAAGAGACAATATCTCATGTCCAGCAGAATGGCAGCCAAAGGATTAGCACAGCCACACCGCATAAGCAGCTTAAGTCCTTGGTCCTCCGTTCAGGGCTGCCATCCTGCAAGCCAAGCCAAAGGACTCACACGAGTGACAAATTAATCAGTTTGGCGCCATAAGGTGGAATCTCAATTAAGTCGCTGCCAAGTCAAGCTTTAAGCCCAGCCTGAAGTCATTTCAGGCTCCCAAATCCAATTTAAGACTTCAACAATACCGAATGCCTTCGTGGTTGAATGGTTAACACAAGTTTCAGGGCGACACGTAAGCCTGATCTAACATTAAAATGGAAATTTCATTTAGCACAATTTGCTTGTTTATTAAGATTATAATTGTTCACAACGAAATCTATTATCTGTTTAGTAAAACAATCAATTAACCACTCACTTTAGTTTGTATGTTAAGGCTTTAAGGCTATGCTCACAAAATTCAGCTAAGCGAAAACATTTAGCAAGCACAAAGAGTCTATATGTAATATTGTTTATTTTTTCAAGAATGAACAAAAGAAAAATGTGCTTTAAGTTGTTTGAATATAAGCATTTAATTAATTTTACTTTTTAGGACTAAGCTATTGTTTTTGCGAGTAGCTCAAGTTTTTAAACTTTCTTGAAAAAAAACAGTATTCCAATTTTACAATACATTCCCCGGATAAATCAGATTTTAATGTTACATTACCCTCATCAGCTTCAATTTTACAACTTGGTTTTTACAATTTGTTGAGAATTCCCTTAAAAAACAAACTTCGCCCACACACAGTATCACCCCATAGGAAAGGCCAGTCAGGAGTCAAAGTAAAGGACCGGTGCATCAATAACCAATGCCAGGGCAATAGAATCCCAATCAAGTACGTGACATAAGGCAGTCAGTCTCACCTGGCACCTGAAAAGAATTGCAGCGAGCCAAGTTGCAATTTGAGCGGGACCACCCCGCTGGAATTGAGCCTCGAAAACGAGATTTTACATTGCACATCCAACAGATACCGCGCGAATCCTCGAAAGACTTTCAGGCACCACGCCCATTTTGGGGGAGGCAGGCGGTTGAACGAGAGGCACTCGAAAGTCTAGACAAGACAGAGGCGGAGATGGTATAATATTAAATAAACAAGATACAAGGGTGTGAAATGAGGAGAGCGGCAAGTGCATTACGTATACGCCAAGAACCCGGCCAAACAGAATGTTTTAAGGCTAACACCCAATCAATAGCAAGCTGCGCTAATAACTGCCTTTAAGGCCAGGTTTTCGAGGAAATTGCACAAATTAAAGACTCACGCAAGGCTTATTAGGGTTTGGGCAATCAGCATTCGTTTCAAAAAATCTCAATTCCGATTATTTAGCTTTAGCTCTGGGGCTTAGGAAGTTGCTCTATTGCAGCTGACGCCATTTTCTTGTCGCTGAGAAAAGCCACAAACAACACAAAAGCAACATCTTGCAACCGCACTTCCTTGCAACATCTGCTCCCTCTACGTGCCCCATTCCACCCACTCGTTGCACCCACTTCTGGCACAGCTCACTTCCTTTCATGTGTATCCATTAAAGTGCCAATAGCAGAAGTTCTGGAAGCTTGATGAAAGGACTGCCATGCGGTGGCTGTGAAAATTCTGAAAATTATGCTTCCTGACAAGCTGAATAGAAAGCAGATTTTATTTGCTTTTTTAAATAATTTAATATTCTTACAACGCGTTGAGAAGCGAACACTTTTGCCATGAAACAGAAAATTCTGAACAGAATGGAAGAGAAAATTTGCTTGAATAAAACTGTTTAATACTGGTTGAAACTCCAAAATGTTTTCTGTATGACAAGTTTAAAAGCAAGATAATTGGTCTTACATTTATAATGACTCTCAAATTTGTAAAAATTCCTGAACGTTTATATTGACTATTATTAAATGTTTCTTCTTCGTTTAGAATTAAGAATAATTAAGAAATTTTATTAAACGCAGTAGTTTATAAAAATGCAATATAGTTAAATGGTTTAAATGAATACGTCTGCCAAACTTTTAAAGATATAACGTTGCTACTATGACGAGCGGAGACCCGACAGATCTCGTATCTTCCAAAAATTTCACAAAGTCAAAAAAGCTGAAATCATGCAGTGCAAACTGTCATGCATCGCTGTAAAGATTCTAAAAAGTATACTTCCTGACAAGTTGAACACCAATCAAATGCTAGCAAAATGTAAATAATTTTATATCTCAACATAGCTTAAATAATTGCCAACTGTTCCTATATAACGTTGCCGGCATGACGAGACAAAACCAGCCAGATAACAGGGAAATGCACAAAGGCAGAAGAGCTGAAGAAAAAGCATTTCGATGTCGTTGTCATAGTCGGGCGCGCATGATTTCCGTGCTTAACATTTCCTGTTCGAAACTGCCATAAAATGGCAGAATGGCAAAAGGGAGTGGTTCGGGCGGAAGCACAGATCCTGGCTCCTCCGGCAGCCAAAGAATATGTAATGCAAAGGAGCAGACAGATGAAACAACAGCAGCTGAATGATAGACACAAGCGGAAGCGAAACTATTCTAACAAAAACAAACTTTTGCCAGAGGAAAATGAACGAGCAAAGTTGCCACTGGCAACTTTAAGAGCGTTTTACTTTTTTGTCGAGTTTGTGAAGCTTGAATCAAAGTGGAATTGAGGCATCCTTAGCAGTTGGGCCAAAGTTTAAGCCACAACGACTTAAATTGTCTTGGCGAAAATAAGGAATAGAGGATGACGAAATGTTAAATATTCAGCAGGCAATTAATTTTGTGTGGGATAAAATTTGGAAATCTCAGAATCAAATATTTACAAGAAATCCGGTGAAAATTTCCGGTAATAAGTAGATGAAAACAAGAGAGAACGCTATAGTCGGGTGCTCCGACTATCAGATACCCGTTACTCAGGTAAAGGGAGTGCGAGGGAGATGGAGATAGAAACTTTGATCACGCATAACTTTTTAACGAATGGTCCGATTTGAAAATTTCTTCACATTTCGATAGGTATTGATAAACACAATAAAACTGCATTTTTACTTTTCCGAAATATTTAAATTTTTAAAATCGTATATAAGCGATTGTGGGCGTTAAAGGGGCGTGGCACCAGTTTGAAACAAACTTGCGCTGCGTAGGAACTCCTAAAATCTACATGCAAAATGCCAATCTTCTAGCTTTTATAGTTTCCGAGATCTCAGCGTTCATACGGACAGACAGACGGACAGACAGACGGACAGACGGACAACGGACAGACGGACATGGCTATATCGACTCGGCTAGTGACCCTGATCAAGAATATATATACTTTATAGGGTCGGAAACGCTTCCTTCTAACTGTTACATACTTTTCACGAATACAATATACCCTTTTCTCTACGAGTAACGGGTATAAATATTATTGCTCCCGGTGTACCTAGTTATTAAACTCTTTGATTATTGGAAATTTAAATATATTTTCACAAAATTCACACACGTTTCACAATGTTTACTATATACTATTCGTGTTATTATTACTTTAGCCAGCACTTCAGTTGGCATATCACATTCGTTGTTTCAAGTAAATAAATAGCGGCAAAAAAAGAATCATTTAAATTGTCACCGTTTTCTGCTGATTTATGGCTGGCCAAATTAATTGGGAATAAAAGCTGAAAGCAGAAACGAGCAAAAAGCTGAAATCGAGCTGTGCGATTCGCGAAATAAGAAACGAAGCAGAATAAAAACACACAGCCCGAAATTAATTGCACTTGTGAACTTTTGATGCTGTTGTTTGGTTTGGTTTTTCGCCGCTGCCTTTGGCCTCTCAT